CATTCCAACCACAGTTTCTCCTCCCTCCACTCCTTCCAGACCCTCCCCTCAACTCCTCTATTTCCAAAATCAACTCCTTCTCCATTTCCCTTCACAAAAGGAGCAGGCCTCCCAGTGATGTCCTTAGCGTACGGCCTCACAAGTTACAATAAGACTGGGCACAAACTCTCATATCAAAGCTGAATAAAGCAGCCCACTACACCATCTCTCCATCTCCGTGGGAAAACAATTTTAACAGTCTGGTTTATTTCACAGACTTATCAAAAGCAGAGAGAAAAGAAAACAGGAAAAATGACAACCTATTTTTAAAGTAATGGAAAAATTCACTTAGTATTTTATATCCAAATTAACATTAATAGTAAGAAAGAGATACTTCTGTAAGAAAGAGATACTTCTGTAAGAATCTAGCCACTGGATTAAAGGACCATGTGGATCTTGAAAATGTAACCACACAAAGAGAAACTGTGTGCTGATTGACACTCCCAAGCTTCTGTATGCAGCCAACCTTCTTCTTAGTTGCTTGGTGTATCCCATCTCCATTGATAGTTTTTAAACTATCTGAGTTCTAGCTGAGTGGTCATGACTCAGGTCACTCTTCACATTTTGTGGGCAGGTTAAAACAGTATTTGCCACCCTTTGAATAATTACAACTACTCTTTGTAGCTAGAGTTTTCCTGCCTGGCCCACAGTCAGGACAAATCTCTCTTACCCACCAGTCCCACAGCCTCTCAGACCCAACCAAGTAAACACAGAGACTTATATTGGTTACAAACTGTATGGCCATGGCAGGCTTCTTGCTAACTGTTCTTACAGCTTAAATTAATCCATTTCCATTAATCTATACCTTGCCACATGGCTCGTGGCTTACCGGCATCTTCACATGCTGTTTGTCATTGTAGCGGCTGGTAGTGTCTCTCTCAGCCTTCCACTTCCCAGCTTTATTCTCCTCCTTGTCCCGCCTATACTTCCTCCTGGCCACTGACCAATCAGTGATTTATTTATTGACCAATCAGCAACACACTTGACATACAGACCATCCCACAGCAACTCTTATCTCAACTGCATTTGCTTTTTCATGATTCCAAGTCTAAGGTGGCAGGAAATATCACTTGCATGTACCTGAGTTGCTGCGGCAGTATTCCAGGCACTACCAGCCCCTTACAGAAACTGTGGACAGAATCATGTCAGTGGAAAACCTGTTCCTTAAAGTAGACCCTCCCACATCATCTCAATGTGGCCTTTAAGCTCTTCATCATTCTAAAGCTTACAGATAACTAGAGCAATTCTCAATAAACTTTGCCTATAAACATGGAAATATGTTCTGTCTAGTAGGGTCTGAGTGACTCCTCCATGAAAATTCCAGTTTTGCCTGTATTTTAGTTCATCTAAGAACTGATTTTTATTGCATAGAAGTTTGTGGGTCTTTAGATTTAAGCTTTAACCAACTGTAACATCCAGTTAATAACTAATGAATTGAGAAAAATCTTTAATACACATATCCATATGAAACTCATGATTCTACCATTCATGAAAAATATCCTTTCCCATCCACAAAACCAAGGCAATATCTCCCAATGAAACCATATTTCTTATGTTTTTTTCCAAAAATTAATGACATAAAGTTTTGGTTTTGAATCATACTTTTAAATGTAATTAGAAAGGTCCAAATTTCATTAAAAATACAAGTTGTTGATTTTAAGATATACATGTGATTAAATTTTCAAAATGGTTTGATTCACAATTTAACAAAATGACAGTTTAACAAAAATTGCCACAAAACTTTGTCAATGAAAAACAACACAGTTCTCACCTCAACAGGAATAAGGGATAATTGATCTATAGCCAAATTTGAGTGACCATAGCCTAGGAACACAGATTTAGGTTACTCTAAATTTTGAGTCCCAATGTGGAAGCAGTTTCATGAAGTTTTATAGTATCAAAACAAAGAAAGTAATAAATCCAGACACTTTCAAATGCATTGGTGGAAATATCACAGAGGTGGTTACAGCAAAATGAGGAATGCTCCATTAGCTGTGCATGCTGTGATGACAATCTTAACTTGGGGGCTGGAGGAAGTTAGTGTTCAGCTAAGTTAACAGATGCCAAAGGCTTTTTAATCTATGAGTCATGAGATATTACTTCCAACACAGAGGTGGGCAAGGAATGGATATTCAGAGGGCCAAAGCTAGCTAGAGATGAAGTCTCCAACCTCTCCACATCACTGCAGTCCTAATCACTCAATCTGTTTTTACAGACAGCTTCTTTTCAAGAATTCTCCTTGATGTGTTTAATAAAAAAATAGCTGCCATATATTTTGATAATGTTTATTAATCACATGAGAAACAATGACACTCTCAGCATATTAATTAGAACAAGAAAAACAATCTTTTGTCCCTTAAGACACCACCAAGAGAATTCCCAATACAAAAACAAATCTGAGGTCTATTAAACTATACCATCTATGAAGCATTTATCTAAATTGTGCTATTATTAACAAAAACCCAGGAGTCAGATATTAGGATAGAAACCTGATATATCAAGAAAGCAGGGGAGGAACGACCAGCTGACCCTCTCTCCACCTTCCCAGATGGAAAAGACCTGTGAATCTTTCTAAGCCCCTCCCTACTCTTTTCTGTGCCTCTCTATCATATTCCTGGCTTCTCTATGGCTAATTCAAGTTGGCTAGTCACTAACTACACTCCCTGATTCAAGGTTAACTTTATTAACAGTCTTGGAGTATCAATGCAATCAAATATCCCACAACACATCTCTTGAAATGGCCATCCCCTCTTATAACAGGACTGAATTTGACCCCAGTATGCTGGAATTTTTTTATTAAACTCTCTTGCTGATTCCAAACATGACTGGTGGTCTTTTGTAGCCAGAAGTTTCTCCGGTCCTACCTGGCCCAGAGGTCGGGACAAATCTCTCCACTTGCATCTCTTAGCTGCTTGGTCCCAAGTAAACACACAGAGACTTATATTATTTACAAACTATATGGCCTGTTGGCTCAGGCTTCTCGCTAGCTAGCTCTTACAACTTAACTCAGCCCGTTTCTATCAATCTGTGCATTGCCACGTGGCTTCGTGCCTTACCGGTACTTTCACATCTTGCTTCTCCTGGCTGGGGCTGGCAGTGTCTGCCCCACACTCCTTTCTTCTGCTCTCTCTCCAGCTCAAACGTATGGCAGAACCTTATTCTGCCTCACCATTGGCCAAACAGATTTATTTATCAACCAATCAAAGCAACACATATTCACAGCGTACAGAAAGACATCCCACAGCAGTCCTTTATGGGACTTCTCTCGGACCCTAACACTCTGTTTGTTGTGTAGCAGTTTCCTCAGAGACAAACCCTCAGCTCCGGGAGAAGGGCATTAAGCTCAGGAAGTAAACAACTTAGCGGCTTCAGGAAGTCTCTGAAACTGACTAGTGACTCTAGCTAGGCTTCTCCCTCCCCAAGGTTATAAAAGCGCTAAGAACTGAGTGGCCTCTGGAAGAGACAGAACAGTCCGCCACCTCGAAAGACTCTCAGACAAGTGAAGCTGCCCAGAAAAGAGAGCACCGCCAAGCGGCTTCAAAGAAACAGAGTTCAGACAAACCACCTGGAAGAAGAGACCAGCTGAACTGCCTAGAAGAGACTGAGACCAAATCAGCTACCTGGAAGAAGGCCCTTTCTCCAGCCTGCAGAGCTGCCTGCAGGCTGTGCAGGATTTCCAGCTCATCTGAGCGTCACCTAGGCTGGGGCCAGGTTTCAGTGATACAACTGTCTTTAAATCATTTCTGCACCTGTGAGTCTACTCACCCACATTCTTATAAATATCCCCAATTAAACTCCTTGGCTCATCAAGTTGGACTTCAGTGGTATCCTCACTTTAATCTGTCATTGGTTCCCCATCTGTGGTGAGCAGACATTTGTTCATGTCTCCCCACGAATAGTGTCACACAATATTTTTTTTCTCTGTCTCAAGTTTAGAATGAAAACTTAAGTTTAGTATCCGTGCCCATATTTACAGACATTTACCTGGTAAGAACAGAAAAAAGTAACCACGCTCTACACACGGCAATAGGCAATTTCCCAGCCTGTGTTTATCTGCTGCCACAGAAAGGAAAGCAGTCTTGTTGTCTTCAAATGACTCACTGGAAGCAATGCAAAGGTCAGGTGCTATTTACCCTAGAACATAAGCCATTTCTGGAAGAGTCAAGGTACGAAAACAAGTTCTATGGGCCAGGTCTTTGTTAACTGTGTATATACTGCACTTTTACCAGATTTCTATGCATTTTGGAAATACAACTGCTTATGAATTTAACTCATTAAAGTTCCATTTGTGTATATATATATTTATAAACTTCATTAGAAAAAACTTTCAAATAAATAAAAACATCACACACCAACATTAACCCAATCCAAAGTCTATACAACTTAATGAAATTATATACAGTTAGAACTGGCATTGAAATAGAAGCTGTGAAACAGCATATTAAATTTCACATTTTCAGTATTGAATATATTTGATATGCTCATCCACCACCAAAAACGAAGAATTCAGAACAGAATTAGTACTAGAAAAATAGTTAGCTTTATATCCTCCTTCACAATTCATGTCCATTACCTACAATGTCGAGAAGAAATACACCGCATATTCTCTCATATGTGGAATCCAGCCAGTAATATGCGTATATATGTAAACAAATATACATGTTGGGACAGTATAGTATGAAGAGAAAAAGAAAAGCAACTATAGGTGGATAAGGAAGGACTGCACGAGTGTAATAGACATATATTCTAATGGCATCCTTAGTGAATCCTCCAAACGGCTCACATGATATACCACAAAAAAGTTCAAGTCTCACAGTTTACAGTGCTATGACAGCCCTAAAGTAATGTCTTCAGCTTATGTAGCCAGTTAGAGACAGTTAAACACATTTCTATCAAAAATTCAACAAATTAACCATACCACAGTGTTTGCCCCTCACCCATCCTCAGCGTCAAACACTCACCCCATGCTCCTTAGCTGCCATGACAACTCTCAGGAGAATATCTTCCTCCACAAAAGGTCTCACAGCATCGTGGATAATCACCACTTCTGGCTTAGTGAGTTTACAGTCTGGCTGATCCTCTGCCAGGGCTTTCAGTCCATTGAAAATCGACCTGTGGCGCGTGGCTCCAGCCTCAGCTAGTGAGATGCGCTTGTGCCCATACCTCTGGATGATGTTCCTCATTGCTTCCATGTTCTCCCCTGTCACTGCCACCACAATGTCCTTTATCCAGCATACTCTACAAAGAAAGCATGTGTGCATTTAATAGATGTGGACTTTAAAGCTCATAAAAGAAAATTGCATTCCAGTATAAATAAGCTACCAATTTATCTACATTGGGAGATTATTCCTGAAGGCTCAGTTGTCACACGTTTTGATTAGGTCTGGGAATCAGTAAGCATTTCACACTATCAATGGAGGTGATTTTTCACACTCTGTGTATCTTTCATGGCATGGTACATAAAGTATGCTATCCTACATATTAGATACATTAGATTTTTTTCCTTCAATTAAATTTGAACAAATAGTATATCTGTAAATTATCCGAGAAAACACACAAAAGAATACGCTTTTACATTTATATTTTTCCTATTTTCTCCCACAGTGGGAGAACTCAACACTACTGAGTTCTACCAGCTGACTATCTCAAGATGATCCATGAGCTGCAACCAACCACTCCCCTATGAAAATTAAGTATCTGCCCTCACACAGTCCTCCCTCAGACTGAACACAGTCCATACTGAAAGCCCTCACACAGCAGCCCCCGAGACTGAACACAGTCCATACTGACTGGCTCTGGATCAGAAAGTATGGCAGGCTTATAGACAGTAGTCTTAGCCAGCAAGTGACACTGGGGACCTGCATGTTCCAAAGGCCCCAAACCAGGACAAATGCCTCTGACCCACAGTGTCAATTCTGAGTAAAAGTCATTTAAATTTTCTAAAATTTTATATGCCAACTACAAAAAAGTAATTTAAAATAAGAAAAACTAAACAGAATTATAAGCCAACAAAATCCTATATATTCACGATAGAATAGTCAAGTCCTGGAAATACACCAAGTATCAAAACCATAGATAACAAGAAAAGCACTTAACATGTGTTATGCACGTCTCATTTTTTAACTTGTGGGATAGTCATGTAATACCTCTATACCATCTCTGAAAGAGGTACTTTTCAGAAGACATTTATATGATAATTAATATAATATACTTGTATAATTTATGTGATAGATTCATATAATATCTTTACTATCTTTCATAGTATAAAAATATATACCTCTGTATTTCTGTTTTATTCAAAATGAATAAAATAGGAAGATGCCATTTTTTCATTGACAATACAATATTCCTTTTTTGGTGTTTTTTGTTTTGATTTGTGTTTTGTTTTATATAATTCATCTTCTGGAGTATAGGCCCCATAGCAACACATATCTGTCTTGTTTTACACAAAACTCTTATCCAAGTGTTTATTGGATGAATAAACTGCTCACAGTGTAACATCTTACAACACTTGTGGGCTGGTTTCCTTGATTTTAACCTTAGATTCTAAGTAAAAGGTTAAAGTAATTACTTTTACATTTTACCAGACATTTCAAAATGACTTTAATGATAAAACTTATGCAATAACAGGATGCCCATGAGCAATCTGTAGTCTTTATAAGTGATAAAGACTCCAGAATGAGATCACTTGTAAATTGTTCCTTGGTTTGCTTAGCCCATCCCCCACACCAATCTCATTCTTGACAACTCTAGAATTTACCCTATCCTAGGAGTGTGGAAATTATGATGTTCACAAAGATTCTAGCAACTGGCAAATCACCACCCTTCAGTCCTGCCTCACTGTGGAGTTCTGAAAGGTTTTGGCTCAACTCCCACAGCTGTGATTCATCATTCTTTCTTGCAATCTCTTATGTCCAATACTTAATGGGGTTCTGAACTGTCTCCTCATCTTATCCCAACACAATCTACTCTTGCTACTTCTGGATAATCCCTCTCATGGTCAAACCCTAGGTCCATGCTACTGGCCTCTGTAGACCTTACTGCCTCTTCCAGGCCCGTAACACACAGGCCTCCCCTCTGTCACAAACCTCTCACTTTCCTGCCTAGCTGCTTCCTGAAGGGAGAGTAACGTGGTCCGGGTCGAAAGGCACCCACAGGCTCATGTATTTGAACATTTGGTCCTCGGCTAATAGGATACTTAAAGACATCATGGAACCTTTAGGGCAAGACTCGTGGCTAGCACTAGTGGGTCACCAGGCTTTTGAAGGTTAAAACCAAGCCAGCAACCAGCCTACATTCTCGGCTTTCAGGTTAGCCCTGCTGACCTGCTTCCACTGCCTTCCCCGCCATAACAGGCTATCCCCTGCAAAGCAGAGCTTCCCCTCCCTTAAGCTGATCCTCTCACAGTGATGAGAAACCGAGAGAGAAGGGAACACATCCCCTTACAAGCACCCTCTGTATTATTCTGGTTTCTCCATACTGCCCTCCCACTCTCCCATCAGACTAACGCAAATCTGAGGCCTCCTTGCTCTCCAGCTGCAGACCCAAGCCCAATCCAGGAAACCTCCTTTGACTACAAAGCTGGGTGCAACCTCGTTACCTTCCATTTCCAAAGGACTCATCTCCAAAGATTATTAACACCATGCTGCAGTCTGAAATGTTCTCTCTGCTCTCAGAAAGACTACATCCCAGAACTTGGCACATATTTTACTTTCAATAATATTAGTTACAGAATCGGCTAAAAATGTGGAATCTTTGCTAGCTCCTATGGGCTGTGTTTAGAATTTTACATGCACTATCTCAATACCCAGCTCTTTGGGATAAATTGCTACAGTCTCAATTTTACTTTTGAGGTCACAGAGAAAATGACCTGCCCATAACCACGCCAATAGCAAATGAAGGGATTGGGCTAAACTCAAACCGACTTTGGAGCTTATGCCATTAACCTACATAAATGTACCAACCCTGTCTCAGAGGAAGGTGTGACATCTAAGAGAGGAAAAAGTCATTCTGGACCATTTTGCATCTAACACTTCAGTATTGTTACCAGGCTAAAACATGTGGCTTTGCTGCTTTTACAGTAAACAGTCAATTTCCTATAACTTCTAATGACTCCAACAAAGGAAAATATTTCTTTATCCATGTATTTACTAGGACATTGAACAAATGTCAACCAAGCATCTGGCACATGCCCTCGCCTATGCATTATTATCACACATCATATGTTAACAAATATTTGCCAACTGAACAAAGACAATGCTTGAATAATTAGGTAAAAATGCTTTTAAGAAATTATTTAGCCAGGGGTGAGGTGGTGCACGTCTTTAGTCCCAGCACTCAGTGGCAAAGGCAGGAGGATCTACGTGAGTTTGAGACTAGCCTGGTCTACAAAGAGAGTTCCAGGACAGCCAGGGCTACAAAGAGAAACCCTGTCTAATTATATAATGTGGTTCCATGTTAACTTCTCTTTAATATAGAATAATATAATATAGAATATTATGATAAATATTCACCTACATCAGTGGAAAGAGATTCACTTGATTCGTAAGCGGTTTACCTTTGTTTCTTTCCATTGCATGTTCTTCCAGAGAGTTCAGCTGAGATAACTTTAAAGAGTTTAATGAAAAATTACATTTATCTAAAATATGAAAGAATCAAGAAGAAAAATGAAAGGATAACACATAAGCATTCAAATATCTGTTCCATGATTCCCTCTCTTTCAAATAAAGTAGATGTAAATGTCATAAACAGCTAAACCGCCAGGCAGTGGTGGTGCACGCCTTTAATCCCAGCACTTGGGAGGCAGAGCCAGGAGGATCTTTGTGAGTTCAAGGCCACCCTGGTCACCAAAGCGAGTTCCAGGAAGGGTGCAAAGCTACACAGAGAAACCCTGTCTTGAAAAACCAAAAATAAATAAATAGATAAATAATAAAATAAACAGCTAAACCTGTAGCTTTAGACCATTCCCAGGCAATTATATAAGCTTTATTAAATGTATGAGTGTTTTGCCTGCATACATGTATGTCCACATGCAGTCGAGTGAGACTAGAAGACAGAACAGATGTGTGTGAGCTGCCATGTGGGCACGGGAAACTGAACCGGGTCCTCTGCAAGACCAACAAGTACTCTTAACCACTAAGCCATCTTTCTAGCCCTAACTTTATTAAGTTGAATTTATAGTAGGTCTTGGTTTATTTTTGCTTTTTTTTTTTTTGGGGGGGGGGAGTGCTATTGTTGAGATGGCGTCCAATACCGATTGCCCTGGAAAGAACAAACTACCCAAGCTGGTCTCAAGCTCCTGCACTAGCCTCCTGACTGACAGATTTACATATGAGAGCCACCATGCCCAGTTTTACAATGTTTTACACCACTGTTTTTCAAAGCATGCATTTCAGGAACTGCTATATCATGAGAACTTCCATTAAGTTAAATCTCGTGTCATTGATTAGGTTACATAGAAATGAGAATAGAATTATAGCACAAAAGAGGAAAAAGTCCCTCAAAAAAGTGATAGTTTAGAAAACATTACTCCATACCACTCAAGAAGTAGTAAGCTTACTATGCTATTTTGTTCAACAACCAGAACCTGCAAGCTTTTGTAAGTACTGTTTGTATTTCAAAGGATTTATTCACATTCTTTTCAAATCACAGAATTAATTTTTAATTCTATAAAAGACTTTTAATAATGCAAAATCATGAGACTGTAAAAGACCTTAAGTACCTCACACAGTGCGTACTGAATAAATACTTGCTGAATAGCAGCATCTGGTCTACCTCTGAGCTGAAAACAAGTCCACACCAAACCCCGGCAGCACAATTCCATCAAATCTGCATGATTATTTCCTTCCTAGCACATTCCATAACAAATATAAACCTAGCCCCAAGCTCTAAAATACCTACAGACATTTTGAGGAGGAAATATAATATCTCAGAAGTTATTTTCTTCTAGAATAACAAATGTTACAAGCTTACTCTGCTCAGATGGTTTAATAAAGCTGGTTGGGAATAGAACATGTACACAAATTTCTTATTTAAAAACCTGGGGGGCCGGGCGGTGGTGGCGCACGCCTTTAATCCCAACACTCGGGAGGCAGAGGCCGGCGGATCTCTGTGAGTTCGAGGCCAGCCTGGGCTACCAAGTGAGTTCCAGGAAAGGCGCAAAGCTACACAGAGAAACCCTGTCTCGAAAAACCAAAAAAAAAAAAAAAAAAAAAAAAAAAAAAAAAAAAAAAAAAAAAAAAAACCTGGGGGAAATCAAGCCTTGTTAACACCTACAAAACACTCTCGTTCGGGCTGCAGAAATCCCGCCTTAAAGGGACAGTGGCAGCTGCTGCTCTCTAACGTGATTGCCTTTGTGGAAACTCGACTCTGGGTTGCACTGCAGCCACTGTCTACAGGGTCCCACCTCTTCATGCCCATTTTGATGATTTAGGACAAAATACTGAGGTAGTGGGGTAGACTGGATGCTAATCCCTTAGCAACAGCCAAGTTCTCTAGCTGCAGCTCAGCTCTGTGAGCCTTGGAGCCACTGGTCTTGGCCTGGTTTTGAAGGAATCTCAAAGACAAGGCAACACAGAGCTCTAATCATGCAACCTGTACAAAATAGGACTGCCTTACTTCTTCCCTTCGTTTGGCCATGACCTTCCGACTTCATCAAATTGATCTGTCTTACCATTCAACTAAGAGTGTCTTAAGCACCTTTCTCTTTCTGAATCACTAATCGCTGGGATCAATACTACCTCCTAAACAATTCTCACATCTTGTCTCTCCCATTCTTAGGATCTCAGTTTAACTCCCATGATCAATATTGCTCATTTAGAGAAACATTCAAGGTATTCTCATCTGACCTGCTCTGAAGATTTGCAGTGGTTTAAACCAATATTATAGACCAGAACAATTGTGTGTGATTGATATCAGAGGTCAAATTATAATGCTTTGATAAACATGAACCATCTCCGAGGAACAAGTTCTCTTAAGGGTCTTCCACCTAAGGGGGCTTAAGAAACCGTAAGAGCTTTAGGGCAAGCGAGGTCACAGCCGACCTGACAGGGCAGCCCAGCCCCACACAAGCATGACTGAGGTTCACTTCACTTGTTTGGTCTTGTGTAGCTATAATCTTGTCCTTTTCTAAAGCTAGTCCACACTAACAAACACTTCTAATCAACATTTTCTTTCCCCAAGTATTTGAAACGAGAAATCAGACTACTGGTAAGAATTTTCATTTCTATGGTCCCCCAGTCACCAACCCCACATTTTGTATCTTAACAACAACGACAAAAAAAAAAAGATCAAGCCTTGACCCCTCTGTGAGCCAGCCAGCAGCAGGTTTTTCCCAGCTACTTCAGCTCCTGCCAAGATCTTAAACATCCCTAGGTATTGGTAAAGCTGTTACACAGCAGAGTAGAAGAAACCGGCCCCAAGCCTGAGCTAAAGTTCACTAAACTGTCGACTGCATCCTGTAACCCCTTATGCAAAACACAGGGAAAGAGAACATCACCCCGCCTCTCCTCTGTCAGGAGGATGCGCGCCGGCACTCTGTCTGCTTCCCAGACTCCACACTATGCTATCCACTGCTTCCTTCTGTGGAATGTCAACCAGCCCCATTGCAAATGGGGTCACTCCATTGTCGGAACTGCTCTACTGTCGATTCTATGGGCCTCCCATTCAGTGACTGTGGGGGACAAAACAATTTCCAACTTCAGATCCAGGAAGAACATTTTTCTAAACAGCAAAATTTGGATACCTAAGTTAATGAACTGAGTTGAGTCTCCTATCAGAACTTAATGCCCCTGACAATACTACTTTGGTCACGTGGCTTCCTGAAACAAAATTTCTTCATAAAAATTCATATCACAAAGCAAAAGTCACATGAGGGACTAAGACTTCAGATCTCAGTTCCTTGTCAATCAAATGAAAAAGTAATCAAAGTTCCCTGAGTTATAACCTGTTATAATTTATCCCAATTTCCTAGTAGGTTATTAGGATTTCAAATTGCTGTAATCAATTAAGCAAAATGGAAAACAAGTGTTCTTTTGCCATAATTTCAACAATATTTTATGTTATTTATATTTTATAGTATATTCCATAATATTTTCCAAACATTCTTTTATATTAAAAGATTTAAATTTTGGTGTTCACCTATCTCAGGCTACCACGGTACATGCAAAAAAGCCAATTAATATGAAGCATTTCCCGTGTAAAGAGATGGTAAATGAAAAAAACACCTACAACTTCCTTCATATAACTACCAAGCAGTCAAAGATTCTCCTGCCAGCATCCATCGCAAGCCATCCCGTGGCCGGCAGAGATGCCACAAGCCATCCCACGGCTGGCAGAGATGCCACAAGCCATCCCGTGGCCGGCAGAGATGCCACAAGCCATCCCGTGGCCGGCATGGATGCAGTGGTGCCAGCATGTCTGTGGTGCTAGAACTCTGTAGGTGTGTAGTATTGACAGGGTGGCTGTACGAAGCAGTCTCCGTATTATACAGAGGAATAAAAGCCACAGACAGGGTGGTAACTGGAATCGTTTCCAGGTCTGACTGAGTTTCAGATCTAACCACTGGCCTGATTACATTAATCAAAGATGATTGCGGCCCCTTACACTTCCATTTGCCAAATGCCAATAATCAGAAAGTAAAATAATCTTATGAGCAATTCCTTTGTCCCTTTGGCTTTCTGGTGTGTGTTGGGGACAGGAGAGGGAGTTGCTCTCCGGCACAAAATGCCAAGGACAGTGGTTTCTATCAAAGCCTCCTGTAAAGGTTCCTGATGCTAAACAATCCCCTCTATCTTGAAATGTAACCACTTCTGGATTTAAGGCCTCACATAGGTCTGCATCTGACTTCAAAAGTAAAGACCCTGCAGAACTGGAGACCTCTATAATGCTTCCAGTCTCACCTCAGCTCCATGACATCACAACACAAACAACAGGTCCCTTCTCCTCTCACCACGTCATCGGTGGCCTTCCTGACGCTGCCCACTGTTTCTGGCACTAACAACTTGTCTCTTTTCTAGGGTGGCTTGGCCTTGATCTCACCCTCCAATCCCTCCCGGCTATTGAAAGACTGGAATTAACCCTGCCCTGCTCTCTACTGCCTGGTATTAGTCTAGGCCGATCCCCCAGAAGAAAAAAAAAGAAAAGCGTGCCTGCCCAGGGAACTGGAGGTGCGGCCAGGGCACGGGGCGCACGCATGCGCGGCGGCAGCGCGCACCAGGCACTCCTAGAGCCGCTCTTCCTGCGGCCCCGCGGGGCCGGCGTAGGAACCAAGTCCCCGGGTCCCTGTGCACTGCTTAGTCAGCACCGCAGCCCGGTCCCCGCCACGCCTGCTGGGGTGGGCCCGGGTTCGGGGGAGCGGGTGGCCCGCGCCTGTTACCTCTCCAGGCCTGCAGGGTGTAGCTGATGAGCGGCCTCTCCAGAACGCGGCAGAACTGCTTCGGGGTGCGGACGCCCATCCTCTCCCCGCAGCCCCCGGCCGGCAGCACGGCGGCCACCGCTGCGGGCCGACTGCCGGGCTCGGCCCCGGCGGCAGGCACCCGGGACGCCGGGAACGCTGAGCCCGCGCTGGGCGAGCCGCTCACGCAACGCCCCGGCTCAGCGGGCCTGCTGTGCGGCCCGAGCTCCATGACTCGAGCTGAGCTCTGACCCCCGCGGTGCAGGCGGGAAGCGAGAGGGGGGCGCCAACACCAGCCCTGGGCCGCGATCGCGGGTCGGGGTGGGCGAGGAGCGGCGCCGAGAAGGGGAAGGTGGGCCCAGGGGCTGATCCCCGCGGGAGCGGCTTCCCCACCCGGGCCCAGCGCCCCAGGCAGCGAGCGCTCTTCCTGCTCTTCTCTCTCTCCCTCCGGGCAGGCCCAGCTGAGGCTGCGGTAGCAGTCCTTACACAAGTTATGGTCACACACACGCAGCTGTGCACGACACAGTCACTGTCCCCATTCTAGATAAGTGGGAAAGATCTGTATTCAAGTTACAGTAAAAAACCCCCGATGTGTGCACCTCGGTTATATGAATTTCGTTATCCGCAGATGCGCACTGATTCTACCAAGCAGTCAGGTGAATGGGGTAGGAGAAGTCTAGAACCATAGACCTGCCTGCACGTTGGAACCACCGAGCAGAGCGTCTCTGAACCCTGTGTTCCGTGCTCAGAATTTGGGATTTGATTGGTCTAGTGTGCAGCCAAAGGCTGTAGAACGTTTTCAAAGTTGCAAAGGTGATCCTGTTGAGCAAGTGCGTTTTTGTTGTGACCAGAGAACGACAGCAATCACAGTAACTGCTGAATAATCAACACATCTCACGTTAACAAGAAAAACCCCAGTGGTCATATTCCTTGACGGGGGAAATATAAATGCTAAGTAACTTGTGTAAGACTGCACAGGCAGCCATAAATCCTTTGTTTATTTAGAGGTGCAAACCAGCGTTGAGAAATTCCAGCCTGCTTCGCATCTTGCCATTATTTGGAAAGTGTTCATGAAATATAATGGAGTGTCAAGCACTATTGTATTCAGGAATCTGGAATGTAAAATTCATGAGAGCAAGGCCTCGCTTTGCTTTTGGTTTGGGTTGTATGCCCAGCTCCAGGAATGCCTAATACTTACTGAATGAGTTGCTGATTGAATATGACAAAGTATATGGAATTATTTGAACATGTATATTATCAATCTTCACCCATCAATAGCTAAATTAAATTCATAAAAAAGTTGAGCATTGAAATTACCCAGTTATAATATTAAATCTCATTATTTTTATCCATTTCGCAAATTAAAAGCATACAAAAATAAATTCTCTGCTCTTGGCCTCTTTTGTCTAATATTCTAAAGCATTTTCTTTTGTTGCTTTCATTTTGGCTAAAGGACAGCTTCTGTGCTAACTGAAGTTTATCGAACTCTTGACCCTGAGATGAAAAGAAAGCATTGTAGTATACATATTTGTATTGCAATGCTTGAAGGTTTTCTTTCCAGAAACAGAGTTGGGGGAGCAAGGGAGGGAGAGACTGAGAGACGTGGAGAGGGAAATGTGGGGTGGGGAGAGACTGATTCTAGCTGAGAGATCTTTGCTAGGGAGTTAGGTGTTTGGAAGTGTTATAGTTTGCTCACATGAGACACTAGAGAAGGTTCATCTGCTGTGGGATAATGCTTTTGTATACTGATTTAATAAAATACTGATTGGCCATTAGCCAGGCAGGAAGTATAGGCGGCGCAAACAGACAAGGAGAATTCTGCGAAGAGGAAGGCTGAGTCAGGAGTCACCAGGCAGACACAGAGGAAGCAAGATGGCAAGGCAGAACTGAGAAAAGGTACCAAGCCACGGGGCTAAACATAGGAAAGAATTATGGGTTAATTTAAGTGTAAGAGCCAGTCAGTAATAAGCCTGAGCTAGTGGCCGAGCAGTTATAAATAATATAAGCTTCTGAGTGATTATTTTATAAGCTGGCTGTGGGACTTCGGGGGCTTGGTGGGACCCAAGAAAAACTTCCAACTACAGCTTATGAACTAACAGAAGGATTTTGTTACAGATCCTGGAGAGAATGGTGCTCATGAAGCTCAATAGCAAGACCACAGACAGCAGAGCGCTCAGAGGGTAGAGAGCACCACAGACAGCAGAGCACTCAGCAGGTAGAGAGCACCACAGACAGCAGAGCACTCAGCAGGTAGAGAGCACCACAGACAGCAGAGAGAGCATCAGGGAAACTGTGCCTCTATAAAACCATGGCTTTTGGTCTTCCCTAAGTGGTTGTGGGCTGGTTAGATTTTATAAATTCTTTGCAATGGAGTACATTACCTCTGTGTCCACAGTGTTAACCATTAAGCTCCATTATGCTAGGCTATGTCAGGTTTGGGGCATGTGGAATGAGGAACAAGTGGGCTGTAGAGCAAGCCATTCAAAAGGACAGAAGTTTTACAAGAGCAAATGCTGGCAAGAATGCAGGGGGAAGAATCCTTGTATGCCTGTGGTGGGAATTTAAATTAGGATAGCTCTACAGGACTCACTGCAGCAGTTTCTCGAAAATTAAAAAGCAAATTACCAGATGACAAAGCTAGATTACTCCTGTGCATGTACCTGAGGAAATGAGTTCAGACTAGAATAGAGATAATGCACATACCCTGTTTATCAAGGCAATATTCACAGTCTTATAGACACAGAATCAACCTAGCTGTCTAAGAGAAGAATGGATAAAGTATGGTCCGTTCACAATGTTATTTGGCCATAAAGAAGGAAATCGGATGGAACTAGAGATCATCATGTCAGGTATCATGTGTGCTCTCTCATATGTGGGGGAGAGTTAAGTGGGACTAAGAGGAAAGAGTCCAATGGGGAGGAGAGGGAGATAAGGTAGTAGTGAGGGTTGGTGTGATTAAGCACAATGCATTCAGGTATGAAAACCTCACAGAGAAACCTGTTCATTTTTATAATTAAAAAGGGATATACTTTACCGATTACTGTAGAATCATTTTCCATGACCAAATACCGACAAACTATAGTGAGGAACTTACAACATTGGTTAAAGTTTTTCTTAAAGAAAATACAGTAATTTTGATCTTGTCACTAAGACTCATTAGATCTCATATGCTGTATATGAATAAAACATAGCAGATCAACTGGAAGTGAGCAAAAGGACAAACTACAGCCTTTATACATATATGAGAAAAGCAATATCGTCTGCATATTGTATAGACATAAAACAATAGATTCCATTCAAGCGTATGCACAGTAATAGATGCAATTTCCTATTATATTAACTTATAACAACCAACCATCATCGGAGAATATCAAGGTGTTGGGGAGATAACTTAGTGGGTATGAGCACATGCTGAGCAAATTCCAATCCTCAGCATCCATGTAAAAAGACAGATAACTCAGGTATTGAGAAATGGAGACATGCTGATCCAGCTCACAGTCAGGTGACCTAGCCAAATGAGCTGTGAGCTGAGGTAGAGGCCCTTCCTGTTTCAAGGCAGTAAGGCAGAGAATCAGAGGGGGAAATAACACTCAGTGTCTTCCTCTAGCCATCTTTTATTCAGACATGTATACTTACCTACACTCAGACATGTATTCACACATACATACACCATGGAACAAGTGGAAGACATAATATCAGGAAGGGAAGACAGGACAGACAAATTCAGAAACTGAAAAAGATAAAAATAAGAAAGTCTGAGCACAACATATATGTTGTAGAGTATTATTTTAAGATGTGTTACATTTGTTTATGCTCTGGAACCTTTGTTTAATGAGGCAAAGATGTGTTGCATTCTTTTATGTTGCATTTGTTTAACTCTGTGAAGCTGTGTCTAAACCACCTGATTGGTTTAATAAAGAGCTGAATGGCCAATAGCAAGGCAGGAGAAAGGATGGGCGGGGCTGCCAGGAAGAGAGAATAAATAAAAGGAGAAATCTGGGAAGAAAAGATCAAGGAGTGACAAAAGGAGAGAGGACTTCAGGGGCCAGCTACACAGTCACACAGCCAGCCACAGAGAAAGAAGGAGAGAAAGGTACATAGAACAGAGAAAGATAAAAGCCCAGAGGCAAAAGGTAGATGGGATAATTTAATAAAAGCTTGCAAGAAATAAGTCAAGCTAAGGCCAGGCATTCATAGGTAAGAATAAGACTTAGTGTATTTATTTGGGAGCTGTATGGCAGACCCCCAAAGAGCCCAAAGAATGAAGAACCAAGAGTAAAAAGTAAAAAGAAAAAAAAAAAAAACAAAAGAAAAAAAAAAACAAGTGAAAAGATCAATGGGATACCATTAACATACAAAGTTTATAAATCAAGGGGGCTAAAGATATAAATAATATATTCAATAAAATCATCTCAGAAAATATCCCAAATTTAGGGAAAGAGGTAAGCATGCATATTCTGCAGGCATTTGTCACAGAACACTAAAAAGAGGAGAAAAATCTTCATTTTAGATAATTACCAAACTAAACATAGAGAATACAGCTGCAAGAGAAGCACCAAGTCACATATAAAAAGCAAACCCATCAGAATTTTAGACAATTTCTCAAGAAAAACTCTAAAAGAGAGGAGTGCTTGGATGATATGTTAGCCCCTCCTACATCTATCATCAGTCAAAACAATTCCTCACAGACCAGTCCGGCAAGATGATTCTTCTGCTGAGAACAGACAATTCCCAAGTGGCAAGAGAGTATGTCAAGCTGAAAATAAAAAATTACCCAAGTTCCAATGAACAACAATTGTCAACTAGATTACTATAACCAGCAATCCAGCAGCATGACTGGTCATAGTTGAAGAAGAAAGGAAAATGTTCCATAATAACAACAAACTTAAGGAAGTCATTGCCGCTAAACCAGCCCTGCAGGGAACACGGCAGAGGGCCAAGGAGATGGCACAGTCCTGTAACCACAGTACTAGGGTGGAAGGACAGGGTAAGGAACAGGCAGGTCCCTGGAGCTTCCTGGCTAGATATTCTAGAGAAATTTATAGGATCCAGATTCTATGAAAGACCATGACTCAAAAATAAAGAATCACTGGGAAAGATACCTGATGTCACAGCCTCTGGCCTCCACATTCACTCACACACACATACACACACACACACACACACACACACACACACACACACACACACACACACCCCACATGCACCCATGCACATCTATATGGACATACCCACACACCCAAAAGAAAATACTAAAAGGAGTCTTTTGGGGTGAGAATGAAGATAAACACATTGGTGGTGCTATAGGAGAGAATAAAAGACAGAAGAATAAAGAAGCAAAACTAAAAACATGATAGAAATTAGCACACACCTTTTAATAGTAACTGAATATTAATAGACCAATCATAAGACAGCTGACTAGACTAAGAAAATGTGATCTAATTGTTGGTTCAGAGACACAGCTTGCCATCAAAATCAAATATAACCTTATCTGGAAAAGATAGAAGAAGTTATTCCAAGCAAATAGAGCTAAAAGGCAAGCAGGGATGGCTGTTATTTATTATAAAATAGACTCCAAATCAAAACTAATCAAAAAAAGACTTTTAAAAGATCTCTTTATACTAATTAAAGGAACCATCCGTTAAGAGGACAAGTCTAGACATAGACTGAACACCAATTCTCCTAGTTTCATACAGCAAATACTGTTGAACTTAAAAAGACAGATTTATTCCAACACAATAATAATGGATGATTTTTTTTTTTTTTTTTTTTTGGTTTTTCGAGACAGGGTTTCTCTGTGTAGCTTTGCGCCTTAATAATGGATGATTTTAATACCCCACTCACTAACAGACAGATCAACCAATAAAAAAAGTTGTTGTTAAATGACATCATAGCTCAAATGTACTTACCAGACATCTACAGAATGTTCCAGCCAAACACTGTAAAATGCACATTGTTCTCAGCAACCCAGGGGATAGCCTCTAAAATAGGTCATTTATTAGAGTACAAAAGAGGTTTCAACAAATTCAGGAAAATTGAAAAAGTTTCTTGTCTTTACCTAGTCACAATGGAATAAATTAGAAATCTTTGCTAAGACAAACTATAAAATATACAGAAACTCAAGGAGATTTAATGATGAACGGTGTGTCAAAGAAATCAAAACAAATTATAAAAGAAATTCTCGGAAAACAAATGTTAGTGCTATGAGGTACAAAGAGAACAGTCTGTCCTGTTAAGAGTTACTATTACTGTGACAAAACATCATGACCAAAAGCAATTTAGGGAGGAAAAGTGGCGTCCAATGTGGTGGCAAGAGTTTCCACCTAAAAACTGAGAAAAGATTCTAAAACGGAGC